CACTTTCAGTTATAAGATGATCTATTATTACTATCCTTACTTACTTGATCAGTTGTGAAATAATAACATAATTTAAATGAGAATTATAAGCAATTCTTTTTTGTGCAAATTTTTAGTAGCCTCGTGTTATAAAGTAAACTCTAAAGACTACATAAAAATCTAAAGCAACCCCCTGAAATAAATGACATTTTCAATCATTATCAATATATTTAATTTTATCATCCAGCGTCTTGTTAAGTCAGTTTTACTTCCAATATTGTTTTTGTTTAAATACTGAAGTAGCTAATTTCATTTAGGTTTTTCCTTTATTTTTAATCGTCACTTTCACTGAAGTAACCTGACATTTCATTTTCATTTTTCTTACTTTTTAACCCTTATTTCACTGAAGTAGCCTGGCTTATTTCATTTTTTCTTATATTTTAAGCCTCACTTTTACTTATTTATCTCCAATATACTGACTATAATAAAAACACAAAAAAGAAAGTGTACTGCACTCAATACTGTCACTTGAGGTCGCAATTTTTTTAGTTGCAAGATAATATGTAAATAATAATGTTTTTATAAAAATTATACTTAAAATGCACCATTTATAAAAATTATACTTAAAATGCGCCATTTATAAAAATTATACTTAAAATGCACCATTTATAAAAATTATACTTAAAATGCATATTATTTTAAAAACGATAGGTTTTTTTTTTTCAGATTATGAAATACTATTGTTTTTTTAATATTAAAAGAAAAAAAATTCTTTTAAAATTATAAATTCAACCTTAAAATTTGATTTTTAAGTAGATTTTTAGAGTCATTTTCATCCTAAATATCTATTAATTGCCTTGTTGCTTCACTTATTGGTTTTTTGTACTGTTTCTTTGGTCTTAATTTTTACATTTTATCAAAATACTTAATAAGGCTTAATGTAGTCACATTAAGCCTTATTAAGTATTTTGATAAAATGTAAAAATTAAGACTATTCATATAAGAAAATATTTTAAATATGAAAAAGAAAATATTATACTTGCCTTTATTAATCAAAATCATTAAAAATTTTAAAAATGCTTTAATTGGATAACTTCAGAGATAAAACACATGATTTTCAATCTGAATATACCTTCCTGCATAGATTTGTGTCAGTGATGCAAAAACATTACTTAAAAAAATTGTCATGATAAAAAAAATGTAAGAAATGATTTTTTTTTGTCAGTATCAATAACAAAAAGAAAAAAAGTTTTTATTTCTGAATCAAAGAGATTGCACGGAAAGCACAAGGACCATTACAAAGAAAATGAGATAGGAAATCCAAATCAAGTAGCCTAGTGACACTAAACTAGAAAAGTTTTTACTAAGAAAACTAGAAAAGAGTTTACTACCTACTGACACTAGACCTTAAAGTTGCAAGAACTATGATGATAAAGGTTAAGCTGATGTAGAAGGGTTTATAAATTTTCTTAAAAAGATTTCTGGAGATCATACCCTGACACATCCCTGGTATTGCCACACTTGAGTGTTGTACCTCGGTAATACAAACAACTCGTTTCTCTGTGCAGCTTTGGTTATTGCAAAATGTTTGGAAAATATTTTGGAGTTTTAGGATTATGAGAGTAGTCTCCACTATGCTAGAGCCACTGGATGAATTAGGGGCCCCTGGTTATAACTATTTTGTTGCTCAATAACTGTCTGTAACCATTTTCAGTGTTCTCCAACATAAATGGTTTTTATAAGTAGTTCTCGTAAGTGAATTTTCAATAAAAAAACAACAACAAAAAAACAGCAGTCTAAAAAAACATTGAGCAAAGCTTTTAATAAGAATAAACAAAACCTAGCACAGCTTTTAATAAGAATATACAAAACCTAGAGTATTTAAATTACTTGAAAATTATTTAACACTGTTGCTGTACAGTTTTTACAATTTAAATGATTCAAATATTGCAAAAAAACAAACAAACAAACAACATTTTACCTTCTTTGCACCGTATTTGTTGTAAAGCTATAACAAAAACAACAAAATTATTTTAGAATAATATGCTTAAATGCTTACACTTTATCAAGTACTTGAATTAATTTAATTAATTGATAATTACATTTGCAGAATATTAAATTGAGCCCAAGATATATCAAAGATATACTGCTTTTAAGAGATTTGACGCATGTATCCTCATGCCAGTTGAAAAAGTAAAAAGAAAGAAGTGTTAGAATAAAAAAATCATCAAAGATATAATGAGTGCCTAAATAAAATGATGGATAAATACCTCTAAAAATAAAATACCTCTATAAAACACAGAAATCAGAAATTTTAGAATGCAGAGAAATTTCAGAATGAACAAAACAAATCTAACAAATAATTTTTAAATTTTACTAAAACAAAAAAAAAAAACAAAAAAAAAACAAAAAAAACAACAAAAAAAACAAACAAACAGAAAAACATTAAACTGATATACAGTATAAAAATAGTCAAAAAATCATTAAAGACATTTTTGAGCTTTGTAGTTTGTAACAATTAGTTAAAAATGCAATTGTATTTGCATTCGAATTCATCATCATTAAAGTTACATTTATGATGATTATGATGATAGTGCTACATCCATTAAAATTATTAAAGCAACAAAAAAAATCATTTTAAATAAACACAGAAACCATTCATTAAAGATATTTTTGAACTTACAATGGTTTGTAAAAAACCTGAAAAACGGAAACTAAAAGATAATTTAGAATTTTGAAAAAGATGTTAAAATCAAAATCAAACCTAAACAGTAAACCGTAGTTTAAAGTTGGTTTTAATTTCCCAACATGGCTAGTAGAGCTTGTTAGCATTATTTTAAGCTTAATAGCTAATAAGAGACTTCTGAGTTGGTTATCCTAAACATCACTTTTTTATTCTCCTTTCAATATTTTCTGATCAATATATATTCAATATTTAATAGATGTATAATTTATTCTTAAATTTGCATTACATATCTAATTTTTAAATAAGTACCTTATTAAAAGACACGACTTGAAATAATATTGTAGTAATAGCAATAATTAGAAACAACAAGCCAATATCTGGTGCTGACATCCCGACTCCATCTAAAAAAAATTTCAATCCTTAAGCTATTGTGAAAAAGCAGAAAATTAAGAATCAAGAAGGATATAAAGAAACAAACGTAAGTAAAAAGAAAAAACATTAAACAGGAATGACATAAAAAAAAAATAACAGGTAGGTTGTAAAGAATAAAAAAAACAAACAAAAAAAACAAAAAAAAAACTGTTAACATGGTATGCTTTTTGTCTGTAAAGTACATAGACAAGGACAGATTTAAAGCTCACAAGTTCCAACTCAATAGCTTTCTAGTATGAATGTTAGTGCCTGCACAATTTGATAATATCTTGCTAAGGAATTTAATCTTCAATTATACCATGCTGCCAAGACAAAAAAAAAAAAAAAGGTTCAAATTTTGCAAAGAACGCTTGGATTGGACTGTTTAAGTGTGACAACATGCCATGTTTTCAGATAAAGGGCCAAGCAGTTTGCAGCACACTAGGTCAATGTTCACTAGCCACCAAATTTACATTTTAATTACTGATAGATTCTACCTTTGGTTAAGAAACATTTAGGAAATAAAATTTGAGGTGCAATCAGTTATACTGGTTTACATCATTTACAAAAAAGTGAGAACAATATGACAAAATGGTTTCAATTTAGAAAGTTTGAAATTTTTATGCATGACAGAGCAAGTTGACATCAGGCAAAAATTGTCATGGCATGGGTCAAAGAAAATTCAATTACTTGCTCTTTACTTTATCTTGCTTTGAAGCTGAGCAATTTACCTGATTAAAACCCTAAATTTCTAAACAACCCTTAACCTCACTTGCAGTTTTGAGAAAAGCCATAATTAAAGCGTGGTGTCATAAAATATCACCTAAAAATGATGTTTTATGACACTAAATTGTCTCTTAATGCCTCATTGCCATGAAGGACAGAGGCTGCTCTAAAAAAAAGTCCATTTAAAGTACTAAAATATTTTTTTACTGTGACATATTATTATTTAATGTTCGTTAATTTTTTTTTTTTTTGAACTTAAATGTTTTCACAAAATTTGAAACTCTCACTGGTTGTTAAATACCAAGAGAATGTGCTGCAATGTATAGAAGATATTTAATAGTTTACGTTATCTGTAGACATTTCCATGTGATGTGTTACAAAAAAGAGTTCCATTTTGAATAATTATTTAAAAATTAAATTTATTGCATCATCATGTGTCAAAAAAATTTTTAAATTTAGGCAAAACAAACAAGCTCAATCAATTAATCATAAATTATTCTCGTCTTACAGAAATAAGAAACCTTATCTTATAGTTTTAAATTAATTTAGTACTTAAAAGTACTAAATGAAATTAATAATTTTTAAAAACTATAAATATAAAAATTAAAGATAAATATAAAAATTAAAGATAAAACCAAATCATAATAACAAGTAAATAATTTTTTGTTTTATATGCATAAATAATTTGATAGCGGTCTTAAGATCGTCTTTAAACAAACGAAATTGAAAAGTCAAAACAAAAGGAAAGGAAGAAAAAAAAAAAAAAAAGAAAAGAAAAAGAACTTCGAATTAAAAAAAAAAAAGGAACACTTAAAAAAAAAAACTTAAAAAAAAACAAAAAAAAATTAAAAAAAAAAAAAAGAACAAAAAGGAAGTAAACAAATAAAATAAAAATTAAAAAGTAGAGAGAAAAAGAAAAGGAAAAAAAGAAAAAAGAAGAAGAATTAAATAAACTATGAAAGACGAAAAAACAAAGAAGAAAAAGTATTAGTAGTGCCGGAAGATTGTAGTGAAACTTTAAAAGAATTTAGTTTGTTTATCTTAAAATACGCTTTTAATTTAATGTAATTATTCTTATTTTTGAATATTATTATTTTTTTTTTCTAGCTTTTCTTGCTTGTTTTCATTAATTTTTTCTTTTTTTTCTTATACTGTTTATTATTATATATACTTATTATTGTTTTTATTATTGTTATTATAATAGTTATTATTGCTACTAGTATTATTACTATTATTATTTTTATATATCTATATAGTTTGTTAGCTTAGTTACTATAGTTTTACTTATTAACTTATAATACTAAGCATAGACTTAATAGTTTATTATTATATTTTCCACTTATTATAACTATAATATTTTACTTATAATCATTTATAATTTATTATTATTTTAATATAAATTGTTTTAATTTATACTTACAACTTATCATTTAACCAATTATAACTTTTTTTTAATATATATTTACGTTATTCTTCTTTTACTATATTAATAGTATTTTTTCATTATTTATTTTAACTGTTAAATAAATATTATTTTTGTTTTACTATTTTATCAATTGAATTATATTTATATTGATAATAAATACTATTATTATTTTTATTATTTTTGGTTATATTGCTGTTCATATTACTCTTTGTTTCCTTATTTCAGTTCATTCAATCACTTTATTATATAAACTGTTCCACTTAAATGTCTACTCACTGCAAAGATTGCTTCAAGAAAATTAATAAAAACCATCACTACCTTCAATGTTATCATTACCTAAACCTTTTTCATAAAAAATGTTGTCGTCTGAATGATATTGAATTTAGAATATTGAAAAACTTTAAAACATCTTGGTTCTGTATTTCATGTAGGGAAAAAATTTTTCCATTCAGTACTTTATCAGATAAGGAGCTGCACCTGCAAACAATAAATGATAAAGTGATTCATATTAATGAATTCGAAAACAACATATCATCTTTCCCAAACACTGTACAGCCTAATCTTTATAATGAACTTAATGATTTTATTTCCCATCAACTTAATAACAACAATGACAATGACGTAAACCTCGAAGAATACCCTATTAATTGTAAATATATGGACATAGAAAGTTTTAACTCTTCTAACATTGACAAAAATAATTTTTCTCTTTTTCATTAAAATATTGCTTCTCTTGTTAAAAATTTTGACGAATTAAACTCACTTTTATCTCTTATTAATCATAAATTCAGTATTATTGGCATAACTGAAACTAAACTAAAACATGACATTTTACCAACTATCCCATTAAATCTTACCGGTTATGTTTATGAGCACACTCCAACAAAATCTTATTTTGGAGGAGCTTTACTTTATATATCGAATACATTAATTTATAAACTTCGATATGATCTTAATATGCTTAAACCAAAACTTTTAGAATCTGTGTTTGTGGAAATCATAATTCCTAAAAAATCAAACATCATTATTGGCTGTATTTATCGCCATCCTAGTATGGATATTTCAGAATTTATTAAATCATATTTAATTCCACTTTTTGAAAAGCTATCTATGGAAAAAAACAAAACTACTTTTTTAATAGGCGATTTTAATGTCGATCTTTTATTAGCAAACTCAGATAATTCTGTCTCTGAATTTTTAGACACTATTGCTTTAAATAACTTTCTTCCCTTTATTTCATTGCCAACAAGAATCACAAATCACTCCAAAACTCTAATTGATAACATATTTTCTAATGCAACTTCTACAAATATTTTTGCCGGTAATTTTACTTCTACGGTATCAGACCATTTGCCCCAATTTTTAATACATCCTCTTTATAGAACCAAAATTAATTCTCGTAAAAGCTGCATTTTTTGTCGAAGTCTAAAACAAATAAATTGCGTCGAGTTATGTAGTGATTTCTCAAAAATTAGCTGGATTAATGTAATTAATGTCAACGAAGGTAAGACTAATAAGTCATTTGAAGAGTTTTTCTCAAGTTTCAATTCTCTTTTAGATAAACATGCACCATTGAAAAAAGTCAGCAATCGTTGCTTATCAAGGGGTCTCAAACCTTGGATAACACGAGGAATCTTGACTTCTATTAAAATGCAAAATAAAATATTTAAAAAATTTCTTAAAGCAAAGAATCCTAATAACAAACTCAATCTAGAAAAATCTTATAAAGCATATAGAAACTTACTTGTTACTCTCACCCGTCGTAGTAAAAAGAACCATTACTCTAAGTTCTTCTCTGACAATGCCAAAAATTTGAAATCTACATGGGATGGTATTAAGAACCTTTTAAACATTAGTTTGAGAGTTAACTCATCTCCTTCATGCTTATCTTCTACCAACTCCATGATACACGACCCCATTAAAATTTCGGAATCTTTTAATTCATTTTTTGTTTCAGTTCCGGAAGATTTACAGAATAAGATCCACTCATCCAATAATGACTTTAATAAATATCTTAAAAATCCTAATCTTAATTCAATGTTCATAAAACCTACAGACAAAAACGAAGTATTATCGATTATTCATTCTCTTAATGACAGCAAGGCTTCTGGACCTAACAGTATTCCAATACCTATTTTTAAAGCTCTTGCAAATGATATCTCTCCTGTACTTTCTGAACTATTTAATCTGTCATTCACAACCGGTGTATTCCCTGATATTTTAAAAACTGCTTCTGTTATCCCAATTCATAAAAAAGACTCAAAACTTGAACGTAATAACTACAGACCAATTTCATTATTATCAAATGTCAGCAAACTTTTAGAAAAACTTATGTATTCTCGTATTTACAACTTTTTAAATAATTCTGCTTGTTTTCATATTCGACAATTTGGGTTTCGCTCAAATCACTCCACTTCTCACGCTCTTATTAGCATTACTGAAATGATTCGTGGTGCAATTGACAGTGGTTCTTTTGCTTGTGGTGTATTCATAGATCTTCAAAAAGCTTTTGATACTGTTGATCACAACATTCTAATAAAAAAGTTAAACTACTACGGAATACGTGGTATTGCTAATCATTGGTTTTCTTCATATATTACGGATCGCACTCAGTTTGTTTCAATTAATGGATTTGAATCCACACATAAAGTTATTAAATATGGCGTTCCACAAGGTTCCGTTCTCGGACCGATGTTGTTCTTATTATATATAAATGATTTATCTTGTTCGTTAAAAAATTCTATGATACATCATTATGCTGACGATACCAATCTTTTATATATCAACAAATCCCTCACGACTATTTGTAAAAAAGTTAATCAAGATCTTCATTGCTTA